GATGAGGAGTACGTGTGGTGCATCGAGCAGACCATCTACTTCAAAGACGGCCAGCCCCTCAACATGATCCTGGATGATGGAGGAGACCTCACCAACCTGGTCCACCAGAAGTACCCTAAACTGCTGGCAGGTTAGTTTTGCAGGCGCACACTACAATCCCTGCTCCTGTTGTCATTTGCCAATAAATGTTATTGCACTAAGTCATTGCGTTTATGTTTTGTTATGGGAGGACACTAAGGTTTTTAAAATGTCCTTTCTCACTACACAAGATCCTATTATTGCATGTCAATGAAGCAGATTTAATGCCCCTTGAGGCGTTGCAGCCCAGCCTTCATTGTTGCGGCTGTGTCATAAGGTGGCAGAGAGAGAGACTGGTGGTAGTCTGCACTGAGACTCTGCAACACACAGAGGACTCGGAGTGATTCTCACCACCGACAAGCAATTATGTGCCTAAAGAATGTATTCAGTCGCTCAATAAAACATGCATGTTTGTCAGAGAAGCCATTGAGCGCTCAGTTGGTGGAACAAGACTTAAAAATTGTCACGGTTTATTTGTGGTGTGAGAACTTTCTTATGTACAGTATTGTAAGTATATTTATGCTCACAAATGTACTACAGAACAGATATCCTCACTGCATGTATTTCATAAACAGTGCTACCAAGATTAATTGTCAGCTACTAAATTAATCACTGGCTATTTTGATAACTAGTTTAAGTAAATTGAGGGGGAAAGAAAGTCTAAATGCTCTGATTCCAGCTTCTTACATTTGAATATTATAGGGTTTCTTTACTTCTGACAGTAATCTAAATCTCTTTTGATTGTGGACAAAAGACATTTAAGGATCATCTTAAGCTTTGAGAAACAACAAACAAATAATAAAGGATGGAAATAATTATAGTAGTAGTCACAGTGCAAGTCACGAACACCATGTGCATTGTAATTTACAATATATTTACCGTATATTTCCAGGTATCCGTGGAGTGTCAGAGGAGACGACCACAGGAGTCCACAACCTGTACAAGATGATGAAGAAGGGCGACCTGAAGATCCCCGCCATCAACGTCAACGACTCTGTCACCAAGGTAACCGGCGTCGAGCTTTAATCCTCTTAAACTACATCTCATTATGTGAACTGACTGAATGTGGACAGAAGTAACAATCCTCATGAGTGAAACCATGTATGAAAGGACAATCAGTTATTCTGTAAAATGTGACCTCTTAGTTGGGTATGTTTTGGTATTTACCTGAAGTCAGACAAATGACTTGTTGTAGACGTTATTGCATAAAATGCTTTCTATGCAGTGATGATACAGCTATCTACAGCGAAAATGGGCATTTTAAGTCCACTGGAATCTGACACCAGGCTGATAGAGGAAACACTATTAATCACATCCATCCACCTCTCCCACTTCCAGAGCAAGTTTGACAACCTGTACGGCTGCAGGGAGAGTCTGATCGATGGCATCAAGCGAGCCACCGATGTGATGATCGCTGGCAAAGTCGCCGTGGTGGCAGGTTACGGTGACGTCGGTAAGGGCTGCGTCCAGGCTCTGCGAGGCTTCGGAGCTCGTGTCATCATCACTGAGATCGACCCCATCAACGCTCTGCAGGCTGCCATGGAGGGTAGGTGACGGGCATTAAGACCGCTGATTTTAAACCTGGAAGAAAGGCACTGGTGTGGAAAAATGTTTAGGACATTGTGTTACCTTGGAATTTAGATTCTGCGCTTGGCTCACTACATTTTACAAATGTGTAATTCAATGTACAATTCTAAATAAATGTGGGTTTATCTGGTTATTATTTGAGAAGTCGTAGTAAAAGATCAATTTGTTCTTAAAACATGAACCTGCTCGCCATATGGACCCCTCTGTTTCCTCTGTTGTCCTGTAGGTTATGAGGTTACCACCATGGATGAGGCTTGCAAGGAAGGAAACATCTTTGTCACCACCACCGGCTGTGAAGACATCATCATGGGACAGTAAGTTTGACTTAAATACCGTTTAATAGCTGCAGTTTCAGCATCTTTGACTTATCAGCGTTGTTTTGAGTTCTCATGGCATTCCTACAGTGTCTACTTGTGCACAGTAACAGGTTTCATGTTATTTATTGTCCGTGTTCACCTTCAGCCACTTTGAGAAGATGAAGGACGACGCCATCGTTTGTAACATTGGACACTTTGACTGTGAGATCGACGTGAACTGGCTCAACAAAAACGCTGCTCAGAAGATCAATGTCAAGCCTCAGGTAGGAAGATTTAATGCAAACAGAGTGTACATTCATACAGAGGGACTTTTCTATTCTACAGACGTGTTTTCTCGTCTGTATCTTTGCTCCGTGTACAGTTGCATCTCTCATATCAGTATCCAGGTTTTTAAGATGTTTCTCATATTATTATTGCATTGTAAAGTGTCTGATTTAATGCCCCTTGAGGCGTTGCAGTCCAGCCTTCATTGTTGCGGCTGTGTCATAAGGTGGCAGAGAGAGACTGGTGGTAGTCTGCACTGAGACTCTACAACACATTGAGGACTTGGAGTGATTCTCACCACCAACAGATAAACACACCGTGTATCTAGCTTGCTTTTATTTCTTCTGTATTTATTCAGTGACTTGTTTCTAGTGACTTATTTTCCTTTTGGGTTACCGGAATTTAAATTTTTTCTTGTTAACTTGTCTAAAAGTAAGAAAACTCTGGTTGTTCTCCAAGTGATCCCATTCTCTGAATGGGATCACTTTGCACCCCAGTACTGTGTTTTCAGGCTTGGCATACTTTAACTTTTTGCACAGTCATTGCACTACATATCTGCTCTCTTTCAAATCCAGTGTGATCACATTGCCTGACAGTAAATTGATTTTATATTGGTTTGCTGAGTGTGGCTTCGTACTGCCAGCACCAGCAGCTGTCTTTCATCCCAGGACAACGTTTTGTACTGAATGTGGTTTTGTGCCAGTTTATTCTGACACAGATTATGTACATCCTTATTTTCATTTCCGAGGTCAAAATACAGATCACACTACACGGGTTTTACAGGATGCCATTGGTCCCACGAGACAGTTTAACCAGAATTGTACATTAATAAAATAAAAACAGTTTCATTGACTAACATTTCTGGTTCCCGCTAGCAGAGGTAGCAATGTTTGACTAATCGTGCACACGCTCAGTCTGAACTGTCCCCACTCAGCAGCTCATTCTTTTACCTCTTGTTCAGGTTGATCGCTATCGCTTGAAGAACGGCCGTCACATCATCATCCTGGCAGAGGGCAGACTGGTCAACCTGGGATGTGCCATGGGACACCCGTCTTTCGTCATGAGCAACTCCTTCACCAATCAGGTACTGGGACTGTGTGAGCCAGGAAAAGATAACTAGACTAGAGCACTGGGAAGACGGTTTAGTTTTTGGTTAACCGTCTGAACCTCAACCAGCTCCCAGGTGTTCTTTGCTTCACTGTGGGCTCATTTTTTACTGAAATATAAAGTTTCACACCTCTGGCAATGGGGCACCCATGGCTAGAAGTGGTGAGAACTTGGAAATGGCTTTTTGTGCAGTGAGACAAATTTTAAAATGAGACTGCAGAATAAAGTTGTTTTTGGTAGGATTTGATTCACCACTTGTCCTTTCTTGCAGGTGCTGGCTCAGATCGAGTTGTGGACGAACACCGCCAAATATCCTCTTGGAGTCTACTTCTTGCCCAAGAAGGTCAGAAGCTCCACCACGACTATCATCTATCTTATACATGTAGATTATACTGCAGATGAATTACACTTTTCCTTGATTTAGTGAAAGTTCTGCAGGTAGGCTATGCAAAGCTGCACAGAAAATCTGCAGAAAAGAAACTGAAGCAGGTCTTAACTACTGTCTCGGCTTTTATTTAAAGTGTTGAGTGAGTTTTAGAGAACACAGGTTGGGGCATGAATTTAAACCTAAACACAAAAAGCTGCTGGTGAAGGCAGCAGACTGAAGGTTTAGTCGGTGCTTTACAGGCTCAGATGGAGATAAGAGGGAGGAGTTAAGAGATTCAGAGGTGGTTTCATGGAGCGAGGTTATACCCACAGAACCTCTCAACTTTTTCCTTTTACAGAACTCTTTCATGTTTACTGAAACATACCTTCCTTGTATAACAGAACCAAGAACAATCCTACACAAATCCTCAGACTGTTCTAACAATGAGGGGCTCAAATAATAATCTTGTCAGTCATTTAATGGATTCTGTAGGATTTCATTTATGAAGCAGAAACAAAATGACAAGTTTCTCAAATGAGGATTTGCTTCTTTTATCTTAAAGTTGGTTGTTTGGTCCAACCAGCTCTTCTAAGATAGCATGTCTGGGATTTTTTGTTTTAGATTCACAAAAATAATAAAATAATTCCTCATCGTGAAAATGAAAGGGAAAAAAATCACTGCATGCAGTTCCTCTTCAGAAAAATGTTGTCTTCATTGTTTTTATATTTAAAACATCAAGAGGAAAAAACATGCTTTTGAAGATCGGTAAGCAAATGGCAGTTTGATTCATGGAGGATGTTTCTCTTTGTCCAAACAGCTGGATGAGCAGGTGGCAGCCGCCCACTTGGACAAACTGGGAGTGAAGCTCACCAAGCTGACAGACAAGCAGGCCAAGTACCTGGGCCTGCCCACCGAGGGGCCCTTCAAACCGGACCACTACCGCTACTGAGCCTGTGCTGCCGGCCTGGGGAAGTCAAGAAGAAGAAGGAGGAGGAGGAGGTGTGGCCAGAACGGTGTTGGTGTTTTGTTGGTGTAGCAGAGTTTGGTGGGTGGGAGCACTGGGAGATTCACTGGGAGATTCAAACCAGGTTGCACTCTGGGTGCCATGTTTGGTTTTTTTTGACTGCCAAATCTCAATGATTCAGGGATACAGACAGTGTTTGTTTTTCCCCCTTAAATAGCCTTTCATATCAAATGCTAAAAGACATTTACTTCACAAGTTGCATCTCTGCCGATCCAAGCGATCAGGCTCGGCTGAAGTTTGGAACCTCGTTCTGCTATTCTAGGGTGAACTCAAGCTGCTCACCTGCTAGCGTTAGATGAGTCGTCGTTGACTTAGCAAACTGCATCTACCCGAAGCTTCCATCAGTAGCTTTATGTAGGAGTTTGTGGACATTCGTAGAGCGCAAAAGATTGTTACAGCTTCCGTCTTTGTTCAGACAAGTCAACCCTGTATTCCATGTTCGTCTCTCATCTCATGTTGCTCTGACACACCAATATCCTCGGCCGTCTCTCCTCTTTCTCGTCGACGCTCTTCTGAACCACCAAGTGCTTCTGTGGCTGTTTAAAGACAATTCCTCCTGTTTGTGTCATTCCCTCTCCATTTATGGAATAAAATAAACCCTGATACTTTTCTATCTACACTCATCTGTCCGTCTCGTAGCGGCTCGAGGTGGAAGGTGACAGAACAGGTTTTCCTTCTGCATCTCGATGAATCGAGGCAAACGGTTTGGCGTGCAGCGGCCTTTATTCCAGTGTACTCGCAATAGCACTGCTCTGTGTTGGCACTTAATAAGAACTGTACTTGAATTTTTGTGAGGAGGCTGGAGATGCTCATGAAGTGCTTACTGGGTGCGTTTTGCTGCTTGTCCAGGTTGATCGGTAGAGAGGCGCGCCGCTGCCAAAGTAACCACCAAAGCACGTTGTGTTTTTTTGCCTGATTTCTAAGAGTCTTATTCTTTATGTTGCCTCATTTTCTTCCTTTTTGCTGTGATTATTTAATTTGACTTGAAGGGCCAAAACATGTGCAACGTCCTCCCCCATCTCCTCGATTCTCTTCATTGTTCGCTGCAGCCAATCAGGCTCTTCAGATGCTGGGCGATGCTGAAGTGGTCCTCTCGTTTCTCAACGGTTATAGCCTGAAGTCCAACTGCTTGTAAATGATGGATTAATGTTGAAGCTGTCAATGGAAAAAATAATAATAATAAAAAAAAAGTCAAACACTTGTTTCTCCTCATATGGTTGAAAAATGAGACGTTCATGGCGGGAGTCCTGAAGGTTTTGGTGGAATCTTTTCCCGGTACTCTGCCTGGTCAGATTGTGAACCTCTGTTTTCATGGTTGATCTTGAAAAGTTTTGCTTTTTAATCTGATCTTTGAGTTCATGATGCCAAGAGAAGCCTTCATGCTGTTCTTATTACGGTGAGTCTGCGATTAATCCCCCCCATGTGTAAATCATACATCAGTAGTAGCCCAATTTAACACCTGATCCATCACAGAGGCAGAACATGCTGTCGGTGATGAATCATGTGTTTAGGAGACCTCATGTCTTATTTAGAGGAGCCATGCTACCTCTGTGTTTGCACCCCGAACCCATAAAACTATACTAGTGTTGGTTATTGTCACCACAGTAACAAAAGTTTGAATACTTTTTTTTCTTTCTGAACCCAAACTGATCTTTTAACCAAAACTAGCATTAGCATGGCGGTATTACACCACATAATAAACCTTTAAATAGCTTCAGCAGGTGACTTTATAGCTAAAGTAGTGGGTCGTCTACATCCCGTATCAGCTGATCTCGTCCGGGTAAGTGTTCTGAGGACAGCCTAAAGATGTTGGAGCAATATGAATCCTCCACTTGTTTCCTTGGAGGTTTGAATCCTGTTAGTTGTGTTTGAGGTTAGTGGAGATGCTCTTCGTTGTAGGAGGAGGTTCACAGGCCTCCAGCGTCATAATTAAACCTTCAACAACAAAAAAAAAAAAGTTGCGATTGAGCTGCTGCTAGTTTGGAGGTGCTGTTATTTGTACGTGCTTTCTGTTGACGGCACCCAAAATCACTGGGAAGTTCTCCTGCGCTACGTCCACCTGCTGTTGTGAGCGCAGGTGTTTTCACTGCTGCACTTCTACAGGATGTAACAGCTGGTTACAAAGCCTTACACAAACCTACTGCAATGGAACTGTGTGTTCATCTACATTCAAACTGGGCAGTAGGCCAAGCAGAAACCAATGAACCTTACACCCAGCTGATCCAAAAATCAGATAAGCTGTGGTCTGGTCTGGCACTTGTGAAGAAGCCATATTACATTTTAAATGAGTTATATGAGAACTCACCTCCTGTACTGTTGTCATAGAAAGAAAATAAAATGGATGTAATGATACTATTTTTTGGTACCAGGCTGTGGAAGCGATTTACTCTCTGCTGTGATGTTGGGTGTTTAACATGTAGGTAGAAGATGGCCTCAAGTGGCTGTTCACGGTTTTTAGATCTTCTGTGTTGCTCTTCTTATCGACCACTGAGGTGAGCAAGATGCTGCCACCTCTCATGTTAAAAAGGTGCAACTGTGTCAAACAACCTTCAACTTTTGTGTCTGAGGAGTTTGAAGTGACAAACGCTGCAGTCCAGAAGAACTAGACTGACCAGATTTGTGGAGAAATGCTCGAGGAGAAGGAGGTTGATTTCCACCCTGAGTGGCTGCTTGTGATCCTGGCGTCACACTGCAGATATCTGTGGTGGTGTTTTATAAAATCATACTTGTTCAAAACTAAAATGTAAGGAAATGCCATGAACGGCAGGCTGTTGATTAACTACAGCGGAGGTTTTGTGAATTCAAACTGTGGACTTTATGGTGTCCAAACAGACCAACAGTCCGTCTGGCTGAAGGCGCTGATAACATCGTCTACTGCACGAGGCCTTCAGGCATCAGTCGTGGCTTCTATGTTTTGTTTTTTTTTTTCATATAAAAAATGTAGTTAGCCGACAAAACGCAAACCAGATGTCGGAGCAGCAGATCTGATTCAGATGTGATTTCTTTTTCAGAACCACTCAGCTGATTAGATTACAATTCAGAGGTGGAAGGAAGAGCCGTTTATTTAAAACATGATTCACATGAAGTGCCTGTTTTTAAGAAGAAGCAGCAGTGGTGGCTGGAGCCCAGGCTTTATGTCTGATGGTAATCTGCTGTGTTGCTGTTCTGCACGTACAATATTTATCACAAGTCTTTCTGTTCTTGAATCCTTGGAGAGTAAAGTTGCTCTTCATGAGGTTTCTTCTTCTTTTCTGCTGTTAAATGTTGTCTTTGGAGGGATTAATGGAGGGTGTACCGATTCTCAAGCTTTGTAAATGAAAATGATTTGACCTGAGCTTTCAATGAAGCTTCCTGTGTAACCAGACAAGCAGAAATAACCACAGTGAACGGCACAAATCCATACAACAGCACAAGTCTGAATAATGAATCTGAAGAAGAATAACGCACATAGAAAAGAAAAAAATGCAAATAAATCAGTGCAAGTAAAATAAAATCATTCAAAGACCCACTAGAGCGCCAGACATGTGCAAATCCACCATTAAAAACGGTCCCAGATAGATTTGATCCTACTAGAGTTAAAAACTATTCATGATATTGAAATTCTTTTTTGTACACGACTATACGAACGCTGTTCAAAATAACAGATTTAGAAAGACGTAGGAGTTTTTTCATCTCACATCATCAGGGGCCTTCTGCTCGACCATCTCTGACTTGGTTGAAACTTTTTGAAATCAAACTACGGATATTTAAAATGGTGAATTTGTGAATTTTTTTGTTTATACGAAATACTTTCTGAGACTTTTTTTTTTTTTTTAGCAATTTTCTCACACGTTATAATTTGAGGCTGTGTTTTGGTGACAATATCTCAGGAACTATTAAAAATGAAATGTTTGCTGTTGCTTCTCATCATGGCTTTGATTCAGATTCTGCAATTGTGGACAAGTTAATGAAATAGTTTTTGATTATGGAGGAGTTTAAATATGGCAAAAAATTGAAATGGTTCTAAAAAAAAAAAATCCCACAAGTCAACTGGTGATATTTTCTGAACCATATGAAGCTGCATGCCACAACAATACAAAACATAAAATACTTTTTAATCTGGAAATGTTTGGTTACAAAATGGGGGGGAAAAAAGTTGTTTTCATTGAACTTTCGTAACTGAATAAGGAGGTATAGGAAGTTGTACCTCAAAAATATTGCTTCACATCCTGATCTAAGTAGATTTAGGGGGATTCAGAAAGTTTTATTCAAAATATAACTAAGTTCTTGAGATATTGTCTGAATGTAGCCTCAAGTTTCATTGCTTGAAACAAAAAAACATATTAAGGTATTTAATATATCAAGCTCAAATATCCATATTTTATGAAAAAAAAAAAAAGCAAATCAGAAATGATCAAGCAGATAAAAATGTAGTATTTCTTAAGCAACATCCAGAACTGAATGTGAGTGTGCTTGGTTGTCTGTCTCTAAGTGTAGCCCTGTGATAGACTGGTTACCTGTCCAGGTGAACCTGCCTTCACCCTGAGTCAGCTGGGATAGACTCCAGCCCCCCATGACCCTGGTGAGGATTAAGCGATGGATGGATGGACGGACATCCAGAATCAGTGAGCCTCTGCTGTTGGATGAGTGCAGGCGGTTTGAACACACCAGCGCTGCCTCTTATGACCTCCTGCATGTTGCTGGAAGCTTTTACCATCACTGTGCTCCAGATCTTATCCTTCAACATCATCCATCCTCTGTTTCCTTTTGCTTAAGCAACATGATGAAATTACAACATCCAGCTGGTTTTTTGGAAACTACGGAGCTTTTAAAAAGTGAAATTATGAGTTTTGGGGGATGTTTGTCTTTAATATCGGAGCAGATGGGTTTGACGTGGTAGAAGAGTCAGAGTGTGTTCAGACGATTAGTTAACACGTTGACGGTCTTCTCATGAGATTTAATGATAATGAGGATAAATATAGAATAACACTGGCTTCATCAGTTTAGGTTTCACATCAAAAAACCGATAACAAACTGACATTGTGTAGTTTTGTGTCACTACACTCACGTCTCCAGCAGGTGGCAGCATATGTCCTCTAGTCCTACAGCGTGTTGACAGCTGCAGCTCTCATGTGCAGCAGTAACGGTCATTATCGGATTTGTCTGAAGCCTTCCTCACTGAGCTGACCGCTGGAGGTGCTCAACACTTGCAGACGTTTTCTTATTTACAGACTCTGCATTCGACCTTTTCAGACCCGAATCAGAACATGATGTACCGATTTCCGTCGACCGCTTTTCATGTGACATACATTAAGGTTAAAGAATGTGCTAATGGAAAGTCTGGAAGCCTGAGACGTGATGCGATGGGCCAAGTTCTGATAAGAGTTCAGTATTTCTTCGGGGTCTGGTCGGCATCATCGTTATTGACGTTTTGAGCCAACATTTTAAATGGAGTAGCTAACAGAGATTTGGTTTCCTCACAAAGTAAATCTGTGGAGGGAACTTTGATATGTCCAAAAAAAAGGCTGAACTTTAAGAAAACAGAAAGCCAGAGATTTGTAACTATAGATGAATATAAGCCTTGCTGCACCGTCCAATCATTTATTATCCTGAAGCATAAAGTGCTGCACAAAGGACAAGCATCAGACATAACATGGAAGTAACAGAGTACAACTACTCTAAGTATGCATCATACAAGGTCATCTGATTAATTTTTAAAATCATAAGTTGCTTCTGAGTAGAATAGACAATTTGAATACTTATTTTTTTCTTTATTCTGTATTTTTAGAACCATCCAGTAACGAAATCAAACAGTTTTTTATCAGAACGACGGTGCTGAGACCATCCCTCACACTCATAATAATACGTTTTTCTTCTGCGTGAAGTTTCTTTTGTTTACTTTTATCATTATTGTAAAAGTACACAGTGAGGACCCTCTTTTATTTAACCTTCAATTGATGTAAAAAAAAACAAAAATTGAGTGGCCGTCCCAAGTCCCATTTTTCTCATTTTTGATTTTGCAGTTTAAATTCCATGTTGTACCCATTTTAGGCTTCTGCAGTTCTATGAGCGGACTACGTGGGGCGCTCTCCAGCCGCCTTCAGTAGAGCTTGTTTGGGGTTGTCAAGCACGACGCATACTTTTCAGGTGTGCATGTGTGATTTTGATTTCTTTTCTAAGTTTTGGGTTCTTCTTGTTGTGAGTATGAGGCGGACAAAC